AATGGTCCGTGTATGGGGGGGCAAAGTGATTTCCATTTCGTCAGAAAATGAAAGCGAAGAAATAAGAAGACTGGGAAATGTTCCTTTTTCAATTTTCGTTTCAAAATTAAAAATAGAAAAATCAGAAGCAAAAAACAAAAAATAATAATAACTTGTGTTTAATTCTAGCACATTCTGATTTTTTCTGATAATACCTAGATTTTTAATCTTATGACAAAATGGAAATCACATTCCCCACCATACACAGACCCGCAACACACCATCAATAACAACAAGTTTTTAAAAACAAGTAATGAATCGGCTGCAAGCAATTGGTTTATTTACCGTTTTCCGGGCTATCGATTCCCTTCTCATTCTTTCTGTCTTGGTTTTTGACCATGCTGCCTCCGCTGTCAAAAGCTGGCGCTGCAGCACCGTCTCCGCTGGCAGATCGGCGTTGTGATTTTTTGTTGTGGGATGGCATGATCGACTCCTCTATGTCAATCCCTACTTCAAGCGCCGAGCGCTTCCTCTTCCGTCCCGTGGACGCTATGTTTACCAACAAAAATTGTCTCAAGATCCCACCTCCGAAAAGACAAAAAAATTCAGAGGTGAAGGTCATGTGTGCTTTATCCAAGCAAAAACAGGAACAGAAATGAACGTAGGGAAATGACCAATCAAATCGTCCCTCTCGTAAGAATAAGGTTACTAAACACAATATGGAGGGAGAAGGTAAGTTTCTTTACAAAGACCAGTCTATATTTTCATTTTCACTCAGTTACACGGAGACTCTGTTTTTCAACATCTTTAAGAACAATTTGTATTTCAAACAGAATCTGCAATTACACAGAAGGAATCGGTAGTACTAGAGAATGCAGAGTGTATAGCCTAACCTAACCAAGCACCGGCTTTTTCAAGTTTCAATTCCAGTCAAGAGTGTGGCTGGGGGGAGGGGGCTCATTTACGCTGATTAAGGCTTTGTTCTGAGGTAATGGGGTTGGGGGGGGGGGGCGCATAATCGGAGTGGGGGGGGGCTTATGGATGGAAAGATCATCCATAGCTAAATGTGAATGTCATTGGTTTATATGAAGAAACAGCAGTGATCAAATTTATTGTTTGTATCGGATGGTTCTCATTTGGCTTTTGGTAAACGAAACCAAGAACATGGATATTTAGCAATAATACGTAATAGATTGTATTGAACGTGCATTGTGGATATTAAAATTCACTCAAGTTATCCCTAACTTGTTTTAAATTTATTTTTGATTAGTTTTTTTAATTCATTAATTATCCCTTACTTTCAAAATAGGCTTCCAGCAATATTGCAGTTGATAAATGTACACTGGTAAAGTAGTTTGCTGTTCTAACCATGGAATGATGTAGTGTCCCATTCCATCAACTTGATATGAGGCTCAGGTGTGTATGTGGGGGGGGG